CCTCTATACTTGTATCAAGACCCGTAAATCCATTTATTACCATACCCTATGCCTTTGACTGGACAGAATTTAAACTACCTGGGAGCCTGGCAGGCAGATTTGCTAGTATCCCAGTAACTTCTGTAACCTAACTTCACTGTTTTATTTTTACTGTGGTCCATAGTTCAGGAACTCAACATGGGAAGAAACAACCGAGGGGGAGGAATCTGAGTGTGAAATGCAGCTCTCTCGCCTCTTAATACAAATGCAACATAAGCGAGCAGTGACCAAAGCTCACATCTGCAGAATGCAAAATGAACGGGTAACTTTGGTGTCATCCTGAGAGGGGTCACAAAACCTCCACCAAAAGGAACATTAATAAGCAAACTTGTTGGCAGTCTCAGTAGAGATTAAGGAATAAAATACCTTGCGATTCCACCAGCTGCTCAAATTTGTAGAAAACAGCACGAGGAAGCCTGCACTACCACTGCCATGGCTGTACACGTTTAGCAAATAACTAGAGCAAGGAAGGCAGCCAAGCTGCCAACAGCCATGGCCCAAACAAATCATGCTGAAACAAAGTCAGCCCGACTGAATTTACAGCCAGACAACAATATAGCTGCAGTCTGTCCAAGTTTGAGAAAACTGTTATCCAAGACCTCACCACTTCAACACTCCATCAACTTTTCTGTGTTAAAGAGCATCAGAATTGGCTACGTGGAACATGGTACAGAAAGCCACTCCTAGGGAATCTCCAAAATTTGCTAACAACACCAGAGTGATAGAATTAATAGATAACTGCAATTAACAAGAACTGGTATTACTCCCAAACTCATTTCTCCTTCTCTCCGAACTTCCACGTTCCCTTAGGGATATCTTGGTGCAGACGGTTCAGGTGCAGATACTTTTGGCAAAGAGGTAATACATACGTTACCCTGAGGTGCTTAGATGGACAGCCCTTTACAGACATTACTAAAACTGCACAAAGTCACCATAACTTCACCATTTGACAGCTGGGTAAGCCAAGCGACAGATGGTTTAGATGGTTATCTGAGGTCACACAGAAATTCTATGGCAGAGGCAGAAATAGAAACCACACAGTCTGACTTCTAGCTCCCAGCCTCTAAACAATTAATTACTTAATGGATCCCCTTAATGATAATGGCTTACACTAGCAGAGAACTGCTCCTCCCAGTATTTTACATATGAGTGCTGTTACTGTGCATCTTTGCTGAGATTTTACTGGCACCAGCAAGGAAGAGCTTGATGCCTTGCAGCTCTTGCTACCCATTCGCCTGTGATCAAGCAGCAATAAAGCTGCACACCATGCCAGCATCTGCTTTGTTTATGCCACATTTACAGACAACCCTCAGAATTACTAAAAGTCACAAATAAATACAGGAGGTATTTTCTGCTTGCAACACTGGGTTGCCTCAGTAATATGAAGTCATGCTACTTAAAGCTATGTAGCCCTAAAAACAGAACAAGAGTCACTAGTATATGGGCAAGCCAGCTAAAATAAGCAGATTTCCATGAAATATGAAGAACCTGACAGCAACCCTCTCTATTCTTTCTGTCTAGTTCCCTTGAGTATATCCTCATTTTGGTTACAGCAAAGAAGAAGCAGCTGGCCTCCTTTCCCATAGCCTCAGGGAATCACAATCAACTGGAAGAACTTCCTTGTGATTTTAGAATTCTAGTGATAATGGCAGAGTTCTAAAAGTCATCTCAAATGGGATAAAGGAAACTATTTGAAAAAAAAGAGAAAGAAAAAAAAGCTGTTTGAGGCTGCATTCTTCCAACGGGGCTGGAATTTTAGAAATCTTTGGGCAGTAGAACTGCTAGAATCATTTTTACATATTCAGTTTTCGGAGTACAAGGACATTAAGGTTCCCATAGCAATATTAAGTGATCCACATTGTACATACAATGGATTTTACTGATTAAAGATTCAGAACAATTCTGTATGCTCTATATTAACTGTAGGGGAGTCTGTATTGTTATGGGAACTATAACTCTTCGTATTTCCTGGCTTTGGAGTGTTCAGTTTTAAACTGCATTCATTACATTAGGCTGTTGCATTTATATATGCAAATCTTAATACTCTAATAGAGAAAAGGTTTTACCGTCCTCACTCAGATTAGCACCATGCCCAATACTGGCTAGTGTATCATCAACAAAGCTACTATATTTTGATTACAGAATCTGCTGTTACCAGTGATGGCAGCTAGGCTAGAAAAGGCATCACTAGACTTAATACTAATCCAGCATTAGCAGGTTTCATAGACATTAGAGCTGGAAGGGACAGGTTGAAAAACAGTACCTTTTTACTTGAAGTGAGCAAATGTGATAAAAAACCCCCACTGAGATAGTTATGGAAACCCAGACTGACATTTTTGCAGTCATTCATTAAGTGAAAGTATAATTCTACTCTTATGTACTAAAATATGCAAATAGCTTTAGCACAAATTATTTTTATTTTTCTTAAGGAAAAGAAAGAAAATTGTTCCAACACTGAAATTTCACAATTTTAACGCACCCCCACAGACTACAAGCTACAGAAAACTACAGAAAGAAGATAAAAGGTATATACTAGAAGATAGAGGCTTGCAATACAGAACTACTGGGTTATGCAATTCTATTACACCACAGACATTAGCATAACTAAAGCTCAACTGCATATTTAACTCTTAGGTTTTTTCATACTTATTAGATTGCCTGCAACTTACTGATTTAAGAAAACCTTCAAAGACTATTCCTTAGAGCAGGACAGTGGAACTAGCAGCTCACAGGCTGCCCTGGGCTCCCCCTAGTTACAGTTCTCTTGATTAGTCTAGCTGAGTAGCAGCCAGAGTCTCCAGGCTCCCTTCCCATCTCTCTCCAGAAGGCAGGGAAGCCAGCAGTGCGGAGGGAGCTTCAGCCAAGCAGGGAGGGAAGGAAGGGAAGGTGTGGAACTGATTGTCTACACAGTGCAGCAGGAGCTTGCATCTAGGAAAATTGTGGGGGGTGGGAGGGGCAGCCAGTAAGAAGTTGGATAGTTCTGTCTTAGATTTCCCATGCAACTAGTTCTCTAAAAGCTCAGCTGTTTAAGCTGCCTGTACTTAAGATTTCTTATGGAAAAAACATATTTACCTTCTACTGGGATAACTCAAACCCTGACTGGTTGGATCTAATGCAAACATTCCAGAAATAATTTACTAGGGCAGAGTCCTAGTTGGTTAAAATATTTCCTGAACTCTAGTAGCTATGGAATGAAAATCTAGAATTAAAAATTAAACATAGGTCCTAATTTATCTATTTATCCAATATGAACTTGGTCCCTTGGTTTATTGCATAACAGGAATGTGCTACTTGATGGACAGTTAGTTACTTTTGAAATCTTTACTATATGCTTAATAAGCAATATATAAAATATAGTAGCCCCAGAGTATAATTAAACCATGGTGATTTGCTGTGCTGGTAGTGGAAGAATTTTATGAATGATTAATCTACTTGGTTTTATTAGGCACATTGATTAGATGGTGCTCAAGCTTTATGCAAGAACATATAGATCTTGCAAGCTTGTTAACATATGTAGCTGTTTCATGATTAATGTAGTGTTAAAGTAGTGGGGTCAATCTTTTTGGCAGACATGCTATAAGTTAGCCCAGCATCCTCCCTGAGTGCTGCTTTGTTTTCTGCTCCCTCCCTTGAGCTTCCTACCCAGTCTGTTGTCCTGTGTTCCACTTCCTCCCGTGCTTCGTGCCTGATCTGTTACCTCTCCTCCCCCCAGGCTGTCATGTCACACACACAGTCTGTCACAACCACTTGTGGCATATGTACCACACTTTGGCCACCCTTGTGTTAGAGCAGCATTTCTCAACCTGTGGGTCGTGACCCAGAAGTGGGTCACAAGAATATATAAAAGGGTCATGAACACATTTTAAAAATGGATTCCCCTTTAGAGGAAAAAAACGTGGGAAGCTGTAACTTTCCCCCTGCAGGCTGGCAGAGTTCCAGCCTGCAAGTGGCTGCTTGGGCCCCGCCCCCATGCACCACACACTAGACGGCTGGGGCCTGGGGCAGCAGGTCAGGAGTGAGGGGCACTGGGTTGGGCCTGGCCATCAATGTTTACAAATGGGTCCTGGTACAAAAAGGGTTGAGAACCACTGTGTTAGGGCATAATGGAAAGATTAAATGGAATAGAAAAAGAGATTTTAAACACTTCTGGTAATTTGCTAATTTTGAGTATATTTTTGCAAATTTTATGGAACAATGTTAGGATGTGATGAACTCTGCAAATCAGGTGTGGCAATGATCCATCAGAAATGATTATGCAGCAGTGAAGAATTGGCCAGAGATCTTATTTCATTTCCAGATAATCTCTCAAATTCCTTAGTATGCCTACTCAAAAAGTGCAATTATGTTCCTGGTCCTTTGCTGCCTCTCATTTGAACACTAAACAGCAATGTCTATTTTTTTCTTTTGGGTAACGCTTTTATTGCATTATATCCCATCTTTTCTTCATCTTTGGAAAAAAACCAAATGTGCCAGAAATATAAAATAAGGTTGGCAGGTGTCCGCTCTGATAGCTCCCACACGAATCATTAAAGCAAGACCAAGGCAATTCAGATGGCTGTGTAAGCAATACAAAATGTTCATAACTAACAATAATGGGTAAGCTTTGAGCCAAAAGATTCAAGAAATCATTAGACAAGTACCATCAGAAAATAAATTTTACATCAGGGTAATTAAGTGCCTTGCAACTCAAAAACTATTTGACAAATTTACTTCAAGCCTTCCAGAAAACATCTGCCGCCTTCCCCACCAGCAATTTAGTAAGTTTCAGGCTAAATCGCATATTTCCAGACAAAATTAAAAAGGCCATAAAAAGTATGTTAGTATTAATAATGGGGTTAGCTACTTCTCTGCAATAAAAGTAACAGAGCTACAATGAGATCCACTAGTACTTTAAACTCTTAGGGCTTCTTTCAAAGTCAAATATGATTGCAGAGACAGATAAACATGGAAGTATGACAACAGCCTGTAACTTAAATGATCCTCTAAAATGAAGTACTGGAAACGAATGCAGTGCCACAATATGGATTCCAGAATAGAGCATCACAGGGCAGATTCACATATTAACTAAAGCAGATGTGCTCAGTGGATGCTCTTCAAATCACTGTAACCATCTGAAGTGGTACAAGCATCTTGTTACATAGAGCACAGAGAAGCCCTCCCTGCAATGATGATGTAACTTGACTGTATACCTGTTGAATTCTCGCCATTCTGCTCATCTCTCAGGCTCTGCTGGCTGAGGTCTGTCACTATGCAAGCTGCTTGCTTCTTCCCTTCTTCATCCCCTGACTCTTCC